ATTGAGTGGTGGTTCGACTGGGAGTTTGACCGGGAGACCAGGAATTCGACTGCTCACTATGACGTGCGCTGACCACCAGGGGGCAGCGTGGAACATGGCAGGTGCCAGCGACGTGCTGTGACCTCTCACTGGCTACCTGGGGGCAGGGGTGATGGAGATGGAGGTGCAGTGAGAATGCAGGGTGTCCACCGAGCTTGCTCTCACTCCCCCTGCTACCCTCCCCTGGGACACCAGGGCTTGCACACCAAGGAAAACACCAGGGCTTGCACACCTGGGAAGCGCCCCCCCCCCCACGCTCAGGGGCCAGGAGCCTGTGAGGAGCCTCCCCCACACCCGTATGTCCTCTTCCAGGTGAGCTGGGCTGCAGCCACTGGGACTGCAGGAGCTGGTCGGGGTTCCTGTGGGTTTGTGCAAGAGCCGGTCTGCGAGGCCGGCTGGGAGAGAGTGCACTGCCTGTTCAGCTTCCATGTGGCACCACTGGGCGGCTCAGAGGCCCACACTGCCTCAGCCCACAGTGCCTGGCCATAGTCACTGCATTTCTGTGTGGGGACTCGGGCGCTGTGACTCAAATTGAGGGGGACATGTGGGGGCCCAGGGGCCCAGGTGCTGCCCAGAGAGCAGCTGGGACCTGCCCTTCCACGCCAGATGCTCATGCTTTGATCACTGGCAGGCCTAGGGACTGTACCCATGCATGAATTTCATGCACCGGAACTCTAGTATAGAAATAAAGGAGAATGGGGAGCAAAGAAAGGTGATGAGCACACCATGTTTTTGTTGGAAACAGTGGTTCTAGTAAAATGGTAGGGGCAGAAGTTGGGATATAAAAGTGAGGAATGAGTGGACATTTGAGAAGATACTAAGTGATGGTCTTATGATAGTTGCCCATGTTCTTTATTTTATAATTAATTTTCTCATACTGCAACAAGGTATCACTTTATACCCAGTAGAGTGGCAAAATTTAGAAATCTGGATAATGCCAAGTCATGGTGGGAATGTGAGGATTAAGTAGGAATGCAGACAAAGGACATTTTAGAGAGCAATATGTCACTGATTAGTCAAATTAGGTATATGCATACAGTGTGATTCAGAAATACCACTGATGGCTATATAGCCTAAATGTGTTCTCTCACAGGTTCATAGGAAACATGTACAGGAGCGTAAATTGGAGCAGGGAGTTAGAGGCAACCTGGGTGTCTGTCACTGACAGAGTAGATAATAAAACATAGTGGGTGCATACCATGCAGTATCATGTCACAGTTAGAGGCAGGAGATTGGGTATACATATAGCAACATGAAGGAATTTGAGCACTATAGTGCTGAGTGTGAAAAGTGTATAAATATGTATAAATGAAGACTGAAATGCAATAACATCAAGAATATATATGCACAGAATATATATACACTAAACATCAGAATGGCAGCCTATGGTGGGACCAGGGACAGGAATGGCAATGGACTGAGAGTAAAATAGAATAACCAAAACAAATAAACAAACACCACAAGAAGTCCCTGAATGGACTATGATAACATGCCATGAATTGATGATTGTGATCATTTGATACACCCAACATTCATAAGGACATTAAAAATATAATTGCAAGGCCAAATTATGTGCGATTTTTCTATTCTGCCATTCTCAAGTTAAAAACAGATAATGGTTTGCATGATTTTCTTGGTATATAGTGTGTATGAGTGCAGAAAATTAAATTCTGTTTATAAACAGAACCCCCATACTGTAAACTTTTACTTAGAACCAATGTCTTTTGCTTCTGCAGATCAATATGGCCATGCCAGAGAAATCAAGTTGTACCAAATCAAGCAAGGATTTCAGTCATTTTCCCGAGATTGTTGAACTCAATGTGGGTGGTCAGGTGTACATCACTCGCTATCCTACTTTGGTCAGTGTTCCTGGCTCCCTGCTCTGGGAAATGTTCAGTGAAAAGAATCCTTGCTCCCTAATCCAGGACAACAAAGGGAGGTTTTTTGTAGACCGGGATGGTTTCCTCTTTCGCTATGTGCTAGACTACATGAGAGACCGGAAACTAGTGCTTCCTGACCACTTTCCAGAGTGTGGTCGGCTCCAGAGAGAAGCAGAATACTTCAAGCTACCAGAGTTAGTGAAGATGTTGGCTCCTAAAATCAACATGATCAACTCAGTTGCCAATGATTTATGCCAAAGTGATCTAGAAGAGCTTCCCACCAACATTGACATCGCATGTAATCTCTCTTCAAGGAATAACATCCAAGTTAGTGGCCCTGATAACCCCCCAGCTCTGACAGCAAATACTGGCTCTGACCTCAAGAAGGCAGGTTTCATCACTCTTGGCTATCGAGGCTCCTATACTCTGGGTCGGGATAGCCAAACAGATGCCAAATTCCGCCGCGTGGCCCGAATCATGGTGTGTGGTAAGATCTCATTGGCCAAAGAAGTATTTGGAGATACTCTGAATGAGAGCAGAGACCCTGACCGTCCTCCTGAGCGGTACACTTCTCGATATTACCTCAAGTTTAACTTTCTGGAACAAGCCTTTGACAAACTAGCTGATGCTGGCTTTCACATGGTAGCATGCAATTCCACTGGCACCTGCACTATCACCCATGACCAGACAGATGACAAGATCTGGACCTCTTACACTGAATATGTTTTCTGCCGGGAGTGACACTTAAAAGAAATCACCCAGAAAATACAAACCAAACAGCGAACTCTCTCTCTCTCTCTCTCTCTCTCTCTCTCTCTCTCTCTCTCTTCCTTTTGTTCCTGTGCAGCTATACCTTTTAGAAATAAACAGATTAATTTTGGATCTACAAATCTTGGACAATGCCATTCTCTTCACCATAACCATTTGAACTTTTGTTGGTAATTTCCTTCTTACACATTCCATCCTATCTGGCTTCCAACCAGCCTTGGCTTGTGGAGTTGGATGTCATTTCATGGAAAATATTCAATGCATAGGCATATGTGCATGTACATCGCTGTAAATAGTAGAGGTGTATTTCTTGAGTGAATGCAGTTAGATAAACCCACAAGATTTAGTTAGTTAGCTGAGAAATGCTAAGCCATGGTTTCCAAACTAGTTCTCAGCACCATATCTTGGAATTCTTATATACCTTGCTGTTTGTATGCTCCTAAAGAAAGCTCCATGTATACTTGTTCTGAAATCGATACCCCTACAGTAAATGTGAATATGCTTTGTAAACTGTTGTTGCTATTCTTTTTGTCCAGATGGAATGGAAGAAACTGGCAGGCATCTTCCAGGAGGTTCATAGAAAGGCCAGTCAATTCTATGATTATTATTTATTCTTATTAGAATATGGATGTATGCCGAAACCAGTTTGGCTCAGTGGATAGAGCGTCAGCCTGCGGACTGAGGGGTCCCGGGTTCGATTCCGGTCAAGGGCATGTACCTGGGTTGCGGGCACATCCCCAGTGGGAGATGTGCAGGAGGCAGCTGATCGATGTTTGTCTCTCATCGATGTTTCCAACTCTCTATCGCTCTCCCTTCCTCTCTGTAAAAAATCAATAAAACATATTAAAAAAAAAGAATATGGATGTAAAAAGAGCAGCCAACATAAGTAATTAATGCCAAGAATAAGAGTCTTAGCACTTAAATTGCCTTTACTTGGAAAGGAGAGTGAGGGTGAGCATCATGACTATTACACAGGCATAAGTAGGTATGCTCCTTTAAGACTGCATCAAAATATCATTTTATTTATTAGAATTGAAACACAAAAGCATGTAGCTAAGAGGAGGTTAAGCAAAGAATTTCTTTCTACAAATACATATGTGTAGTAGCTTGGTTTTCACTAAGTCAAATATTTGGATGTATGTCAACTGTTAGCTTTTGGTGGAGTGTGTGTGTGTGTGTGTGTGTGGGTGTGTGTGTGTGTGTGTCTGGGGTGGGAGTGGGAGAAGAAATAGGAGGAAGATGAATAGAAGGTGAACTTTTGAAAAAGGAAATAAAAAATTATCTTCTGGAATCCCTACTAATGACCTTTATTATACAGGTTGAAAGAAAAACCCTCATATGAAAACACCTTAGTTTGATACAAATTATTAGATTGCTGAAGAATATGAGACAAGTCAAGAAAAAGAAACTGAGGGCTCATTTTCAAAAAACTTTATCTCCTCTGAATAGCTTTACAGCAAGTCAATGATCAAATGGCATTCAGGTTCCTTTATTTCTTCCTTGATGCCTTACATTTACTCTATGTCTCTATTGTACTTATTATCTTTTGATTTATTTTCTAGTTGGGACTCTGGGTTGCAAGGAACTAAAACCCATTCAATGTGTCTTGAGAAAAATAAAAAGTACATGTGTCAGGGTGTGAATGGGTGGACATTATATAAATGCGCCTGTCCTGCTGAGTGCAAGGACAAAAAATGAAGTCCAATCAAATTTCAAATGATCTGGGGAGATATCAGGAACTGACGTCCTATCTTGTCTGTCAGAGGGCATTTGACTTCTCCTTTGGTCATCTGAATCTGTCAGTTGTATATTTTTCTCTCTACATCTTAGGATCACCTTTTTCTCAGCTTGTACCTGCCATAAAACAGACATGTCAGCCCTTCCATGAGCATGAACTTTCAGCCATTCTCTCCATAGTTAACTTCTTTAGTGACACCCTAATTCAAAAAATCCCAATCAGCTGTGGCTTAAGAGAGTCTGAATGGGCGGAAGGCACTGTGAGTGTCGGCAACCAAACAAAGGACTATTATCAACATTTCTAGATGGATTATTCCCTATGCCTGACACATAGTAAACAGTAAGTGTATAACATGTAAAAGACTCATTGATGAGTATTTCCAAAGGTCTCAGGGTCCAGATTGACTATTCATGGAAGTGATGATTTTTTAATGTGGTCAGGGGTCACCTTCCATGATCTTCCAATCTAGTTTTGCTAATACCCTTCTGATAAGTTAGTGCCCTAGAGGGGCAACATTTTAGATGCTATAGAGAGGTGTGTCCCAAACTCAGTCATTTTTGTACCATTCTTACGGTTTTTACGATTCCTATATCCCTCGTGCACTGTTAATCTAATCTTTTAAAAAGTGAGCTAATAAGTCCAGTTTCAGTTTTCTTTAAATACATTCAATAGCTCTATCCCCTCTGACATATTTCTGGTATGCTCCAGGCCTCAGTGGTTTTGTTGTGCACTAGAGAGGAGGCTATCTTTTGTCCTATGTTATATGTATACCACAGTTAAGCCATCAGGTTAGAGAGATTTGCAACGGTGACCTGGTGCTTCATGCCTTAGGCTCAGCCTCTTAGAAATGTACTTAGAGAAGATTTGTAACCCAATTTAGAACCAGGACTACTGCTCTACTCACTTTTATTCTGTCATCAATGTACTGTCCTCTTGGGTTCAAATTAATTCCAAAACACTGTATCATTTGTTCTTCAAATTATAATTGTATTAGCCCAATCAGATTACTCTCCTATCACCTAGCAATAAAGTAATGGGGAAACCAGAGGGACTAAATTGTAATAATCTCTCAGATTGTGTAGTTCATTAAGAAGTTGGAACATAGGATGGCTCACAGGCTAAATGAGGGGATATCTCACTGGGTAGGCAAATAATTACATATTAGTTTTCATTTGAGAGTCACTAGGGTGGTTGATGTTTATAAATAATTGCTCAAACTATAGTTAATATTATAAATGACTTTCTATCAAGGCCGTTGTGTTGGAGGCACCAGAAACTGAGTCTGGTCGATACTACAGAAAAGAAATGATCCTTCCAGAAATTCTGTTAACTAGTTAAATTTCAGAACCACCTTGTGCCCATCCTGCTGGAATGAGGGATAACATTGTCAATAATCACTAGGTCAAACAGAATTTATACAGCTTGCATGAAGATGATGACATTGCAGCTCCCATTCTTGGTAAACATGAAATTCCCAGCCTCAGGCAGCTTACTCCACCACATGCCCGAGCCAAGCATTTCTAAGCTTTCCATATCCAGTGCCCTCCCTCTCGCCAAAGTGGTTCAGAATGATGCATACACAACTCCTGCTCTCCTCTTCTCGCTTGGAACAAAAGCCTTGGCCAACATATCCTGGACACTACTGAACCAGGACGATTCCCCTAAAGAGCTGCTGTCGGCTGAGCCCGTTGTTAGCACTTTGGAAGGCTCCAAGATGACTGTGAATAATCTGCACCTTAGAGTCACCAAGGAAGATACTGTTGAGATTTCTGTGTATGTGGAGCCCTGAAGCGGCTCAACTGGTCCATTCTGGGGCAGCAGAAATGGTCTTTAAGAAGGATGATGGAATTGGAGAGCATTATGCTAAGCGAAATAAACCAGTCAGAGAAAGATAAATACCACATGATCTCACTCATTTGTGGAATATAATGAACAACCTAAACTGATGAACAAAAACAGATCCAGAGACACAGAAGCATCGATCAGACCATCAGACTCAGAGGGAAGGCAGGGGAAGGCGGGGGTAAGGGGGTGAGATCAACCAAAGGACTTATATGCAAGCATATAGGCCTAACCAATGGACACGGATAACAGGGGGGTGAGGGCAACACCTTAATCAATAAAAAAATAAAAATAAATAAATAAAGAAGGATGATCCCATCACCGCATATAAGAAATGTAACAGCTCTAGTTGGTTTGGCTCAGTGGATAGAGCATCGGCCCATGGAATGAAGGGCCCTGGGTTCAATTCTTGGTGAAGGGCACATACCTTGGTTGCAGGCTCAATCCCGAAAACAAAAAAAGGAAAGAAATATAACAACCGGTGTCTGGACGGGAAACCAATAAGTGCAACCTTCACACGAATGAGAACCTTATCACCTCAGAGCAGCCCATCCTGCTCCGGCTACGTGCCAGCCACTCAGTGATAAAGGAGCGTGAGCTGCCTCACAGGGTGAACTCT